AAATTAATTAGTGACAACGATCGAATAGGTTTGTATGTTTTTTAGGTTTATATGGTTTTGTAATTTGGTAATGGCGTGTTAGGTTTATGTTTTATGTACTTAGTGAATAAGTTTATTAAAGCTACAATAAAAATGTAATAGTGGACAAAACTTTCCTATAGATTAAACATTCGTGAAATAGCAGTGATTTTTAAATATTTTCTATTTAAGTATTGTCCAGTTCGTGACTGGTTTGTAGTTATATTACAATTGTTTTTGACAAAAAAGTGTTTTTGCTGTTTAGTAAAAACGCTCACGAATAGATAAAATCAGAAAAGTGTTGTTCCTTTGCGGAACTTTCTTGGTAAATATAATTGTTGATTTCGAAATGGTATGGCGATGATCCGGAACGGTAAATTTGATCGCGCTAGGGCCATTTAGAAGATTGCAGGCAAGATGGCGAAACGACGCTGGGATGAAGTACAGCGTCGCGACGTCGAATCGATGCGCCGACGCCGCACGACGTCGAATCTATTTTAGAGATGGCCCTCCTCTCAATTTTGATGGACATCCGAACGACCGCGCCCTCGTTTCCGCCAACAAATCCCGTCTTTATCACCTCTTCTCCTAACATTTAAAACTGACCAACACAAAAGTCCTAATTTAAGGCTAAAAGAGTACCTACAAATGAAATGAAACTAAAAAACAACAGTCGCGGTCTTAAATAAACGCCATAAACTCGCTTTATATCAGGTAGGTAATTAAAAATTAATCAAATTAATAATAAAAAAATTTAAATGCCATTAAACATCGATTCGCTAACGATATGCTTAATAAAAAAGCGATCGAACGGTTTGGCTAATGGGTAATATAAGTTGCAAATTTTATTGAAAAGAATGCGTATAACAATCCATAAAAGCGACAGATTTTAGTAGTAAAAATCAGCTGATAGAGAATATAATAAAAACATTTTTGGGACCGGCTTTAATAGCCTTCATAAAGTGACGTTTTCGAGACAAGTACGAACGAATTATGACAGTGCCGGAACCCGACAATTCCATGGCAAAAAGACCACCACGACGGAAAATCAATAACGTTCTACGTCATAGGCAGAACACGGCGCACAGAAAGGGCTTACATCGTGTATTTTACTCTTTTCATATCCTTACACAACAATGTGATATATTGCTGCAATACAGACGTCTTATTGTCTTTTTAGAAGCACAAAAATTTAATAAATTTTATTTTTGTCTATTTATACAATTGTTAAAATTGTTACAATTATAAAACTTACAACGAAATATTTTAAATGTCATGGGGTTTTCCATAAATATTTAACGTAAAAATAACAATAAGGATAAATTTTATATAACAAGACTATAGTCTCATATATAATCTTGTTATATAAAATGTATCCTTATTGTAATTTTTATGTTAAATGTGTAAATTTTGCAATGTCTATGGAAAACCCCACAACAATTAAAATATTTCCTTGTAAGTTTTATTACATTTTTAAAATTGTCGAATTTGACTAGATATATATACACTGTTTAAAATATATGTGGCGTAAAGAGTAATCCTAAAATGGTGTCAAAATCCAACACCAAGTGGTGTTAATATAACACCATGAATTATGGTTGAAAATGAACTCCAAAACGGTGTTTATCTAAAAATATTTGAAAAGTGCACCTACACAGAAAAAAAGGAATAGTTCATTTAACTATATTAATTTAGTTGACACATTATCTCTAGCGAGTTGAAGATTCCATTTTCTGGAATAATACCACTGGTAATATACTAGTAATGCGTCAAGGAACTTCCTGTTTCCTTTTTTTTCCTTTTTTCTGTGTAGTATGATTTAATTTGACCACAAACACATAATATTTAACACTGTAAAGGATATCAATTTACACCAGGTAAAATTTATTTTAATACTGTGTGAAAGTTAAATTTACACCATTTTAGTATTTGAATTTACACCGGACCAACGAACCCTATTTAACACCATTTTGGTTTGTATCGATATAGACCATATATGGTGTTAATTTGGTGTTAAAATGGTCATGAAATTTTGAACAGTGTATGTAGCTGTTTTAAGAAAGTCAATTTAATGTTACATTATAAAGTGTTTTAAGGATGCCAATTTAAGCTAGATAAGACTTTTTTCCTTCCAATAAATATATTTAAAAAAGTATGTCTTAATCAAGAAAATTCGTATTGATGCGGAATTTCAATTATCACCAGAGTTATTTTCAACACAGCGCGATGTCTCTTGGTAATTAATTTCATCAATCAGATGTGGGAAAAAAGGAAAAGTGCGCGGCACTGAAACAAAGCTATTAGAATTCTATTAAACTCATAAATATGAATTGCACATAGAGATGTCGCGGGTTTAAAGAAGAATGTAAAGATTTTTCATTGCTGCTAAAGGAATAGATCAACAAATCTAATGGTCGCAGCAAAAACATTTATGTTTTGTAAAAATGCTAGAAGGAATTTTTAATATTCGCTCTTTTCGAAAAACTCGTTTCCTTTAATATCATATTTATTCTTTAAAAACCAATTTTGTCGTATAATATTAGCATTAGCAGTTTTTGTTAATCGGTCATTATAATTTGTTATTAGTGAATAAAGGAATTAATTGGGACTTTATTGTGATTTTTATTACAATTATTAATATTTTACACAAGTTCAGAATATTATTACAATTTTTTTTTTAATTCAAAATATAACTGTTTCTTTCAAAATGTATTATTTTTTCAAATACAAGTTTTTTACAGAACTTTGTTGTTATGTTAATGTCTTTATCAGAATTTGATGTACATACAGTATCATGGATCTGAATTACCTTTATCCGACTGTCTTTAACAAGAGTTGGATAAATCAGACCCATGAAGGGTACCTAATAAATTAGTAATATCAAACAAGTAGGTAAGACTCGGTCTGAAGTAAAGGTTTTGAATAATATGCGATAATTTAATAAACTTACTTTCCCTGATTTAACGCAAATGATTCATCACAATTTGCGCGTGTGACAGTGAGCTCGTGTGGGCATCGCCGTTAATTGGAGTTAGCCGCGGCTTCTAATTAATTACGGAACATGTTTTTGAGCGCGATTTGTAATTGACCGGCACTGCACGAAGCAGCACATCTGAACACAGAGCACCAAGTCGTCCAAATGTGCGACCTACGACAACGTGTCGGCCACGTCTGCCACGTAAATCAAGAAGGTTGCGAAGCGACACATATATCGCGGCAAGCGGCGCTCACCCATAATTCAAATTTTACGTTTTTGACACACAGCTATGCGAAAGCGAATTTTTACCCGCTTTTTCCACATTGACCAGATGCTCCATTTAGATTACTGTTGATGTTACTTGAAAAAGGACAACTTTGGACACTTCGCTTCTGAAGATGTCAGCATCGTTGGCGAAATTTGTTTAAGTGTTCATGTATTGGTGATGCTTTGGGTTTTAGTTATTTTTTCAATAACTGAACTATGAGGGTTTTGAGATTTATCCAAATATTTCCAGCCCTGCAGAGAATAGTTTTTAATCCGTAACGATGATGGGACAAGCAATCATTTTCTTCAAATATATTAATTTTTGATCCATCGTATTGTATGAAAATATGTGGATAGAGCTAAAAATCCTCATTAAATCACATTTTCTCCATGTATCATCAGTTTCGGACGTATATTGCCGTTGTAGAGGCGAGGTCGCGCATGAGAGGGGTTATTGCTTTTCTCAGACGACAGGTCAGCTGTAATAAAGGGTGGATTCGCGTTGCGATTTTGATTTACGAATAGAATCGACAGCAGATGCACGTCTGAGGGAGCCGGTGGACCAATCAGCGTCGAGAAGCGGCGAAAGAGAAACGCCGCCGCCCACGCGAACTAGGAAACTTGATCGCGGCGCTCCGTGGACTGAGAAAAAATCAAAAGTGCACCAAAAACCATCTCGTAATTAACATAAAGCATTAAGATAATGCGCTTAACGTTTCTATAAACGTCTACATTTAAATTAATTGCAGTCTTACTTAAGATTACATACTATGTTCTTGTTTTATCCATTTGCATTTCTTCCTATAATGATGTCAATTATACACTTTAATTTGCCATTAAAATATCCATATTTTTTCACGTTTATAAAACCTCCATTGTCCATGACGACATAAATCTCCGAATGAAAATTAATTGCTTCGAAACATTTATATTAGCAATACGTATTTGCATAATAGTAATTAGTTTTTATGATCGGATAGCTAATACCTATAACAACAGTGTGAAATGGAGTGTGTGTCTTCGTGTAGGGTCTATGAGGAATGGTAAAAAGCGCGTTTAATTAACATGTAAAAAGCAATAAATTAATTTATCGAAAGAATTAAGCTAATTGGTGGGTCGTAAATCAAGTATCGGAGAGAAATTCGTCGACGCGGTAATTGAAATAAAATCGGCCCATTTTATAGGTTATTGTTGTTGTTGTTGTTGTCGATGTAGTTGGAAGTCAAGGTGAAATAAAAAGGGAGTTGATCTGTTATTGAGTGCACATGATGACTGTGTGTATATTTAGTTCAAAACACGACAGAAGCAGCCAGCAACGGATACGGAAGTAAATGACATTGACAAAGCATTGGAGCTGTAGGCGAACGGTAATCGATGGTAAACAGATGACGGTTCGGGTTAGTCAATACCGAAACTGCAACCGACGACTCTATGACCCAAAATAAAAGTGGCAAGGGGAAAACATTTACGTAATTTTAGTATAGGTTTATTTTGACAATTGTTAGATAAAGATGATGCTTCATCAATTCCAATTAAATTAATCCATGAGAGCAAGTTTGCTTTGCGTCTATCAGTGTAAACGATGCCCCAGTTTCATAGCCATCATTCGAGGGGATTAACGCTCAACGGGTGGTCTCTAAACGAGATATTCCATCTAGAAAGATGCTTATCGCTCGCCAGACCAGCGAACTAATTTTCACATTATTGTCGATTTATTTTGTTTTTTTTTCGATTGCAGGAAAATGGTGTCCGCGAAGAGAATGGTCATCGCCTCCTGACCCTCGAGCAACGACCGACGCTGCTCGAAGAGGCGTCCTCTACTCCTCCGTCTTCCTCGGCAGTCCTGGTAAGATATTTTTTCGAGAAAAAATCAAAAAAAAAAAAATAATTAAAATTGGCAGTGTCTTGCGTGTTTCTTGTTGGCGCGCCGGTGCTGGCGGGTTCCCCCCGCCGTTTTCTGCGAGGGGACCCGCGACGAACGTTGTCATGGTTACGACTGCATTCCCGCCTTGCAGCCATGGTGTTTGGGCGCGCATGCGTTGCGCCACTCTAGTGGCGCGCCGTAGCGATATGGCGAACCACTGGGAGGCGCGCAAATAGACTATCCTCTTTTTCCTCGAACATGCACGTAACACGACAAGCTCGCTCTCTGCCGGCCGCTGCCGCAATATGCAAACGAACTTATGCGTAAACATGCTGAATTGTTGCCTCGGTGCATTGTTCCGCTGCTAAATTAAAAACGTTTTAGTATTTACGAGCGAAATAAAAGCTGCAGCAGCCGAACAAATTCCAAAGTGTGTGATTTACGCAATCCGTCGTAAATCAGGGCTTGGGCTCGGGCACTTTAAACTTTAATGGTCACGGTACACGTGTCGTACAATTTAGGTAAAACGAATTCGACTTGACCCTCGTCCGTGACCTGGTGTAAAGCAAGCGAAGAAGAGCTTGTCCGTCCGTCGGCGATTGGACCATCCATCACGGCCGGCCTGTAATTGGTTCTCATGAAGCCCGGACCCACACGTAGGGTGACCAAAAGGTGATTGTTGCCTTGGAAACGAGCTCCATCGCTCAAACATCGAATATCACTTGGAGAAAAGCGAGAGGACGTCGTGCTAATTACCCGACCAAAAACTGCGTGCACGTCGATACACCCTGCCTGCTATGTTCCGAGCGGATCTCTGCCGATGACAGCTTAGATGAAGCACCCTCGCCAACCTACCACAAACCCATTCATTTCCACCAAATAAACTCAATCGATAAATTTTCATTTTAAGAATCTCATCGTCTAAAAATAACCCTCCGACTCAGGTAAAAATTTCGACAAATCCAATGCCATCGGATACTTTTCCTTCGATTAATCACAACAACCTGGGAGATACCGGTTATTTATTTTCGTACCATTTTGACGAAAAACGTCAGTGTGGAGATCGACTTACCGAGGAAACAAACCAACGTCAAAAGTGTCGAGTCGCGCGACGTTTGTTTAAAGTCGCTGTCCGTCAAGAAGTCAATATTGGAGGAGGAGGTGCATCGCACATGTGAGAGACATAACAAGACGACGGCATTTTTGTTCGAGAAGGCGCCGCCGTATAAATTTCGGCACCTGTCCGCGACCATCATGTCGCTGTCGAAAACGCGTCGTCATAATAAAGCGAAATCACAGAGATATTATAGCGAGTTATTTTGATGGCAAGTTAATACCTCGCAGTCATAAATTTCGCTAAATCAGTAAAACTTTGTGGCACTCACACGAGAGACTTCTTTAATGATGCATTTTATACTTTAGCACGACAGACATTATTTTAATTCGTTCACTTGGATGCCGTCCAAACGGGCACATGTTTGTGTTTCGTGGGCTTTTTTTGTCCTCTCGCTCTCGCCATCAAGACATGTGTGATAACGAACTTATTTTCAAAATATCCCGACACCGAAATAACTCTACCTGCCAAATTTAAATGCGAGCGACGAATACTTTTACATGTGTTATTTTAAGTGTTATTTATGACGCGCTCTTCCTCCCAAATTGTCCGTGATGAGATAATGAGATCAAAAATCACTCACTTAAAAATACCTACGATAGACAAAACAACAAAAAACAATTAACCCGCGAAACAAAATAAATGCTAAAGTAATTACACTTTATTATATCTTTCGGCGTTCACGCAGCTCTTTTGTTTCGTGCAAAAGTGTGTCTGCGGATGAAAATCTGCATCGTCGATGCTACGCTATCAGGTACCCCCGTGGCCGATTAAATAAATTACTTTTTTATAAGTTATTATTATAATTTATGTAAATATGATAATAGCGCGCATTATATGTTTATAATGCAATGCAGCCCGATGATAGCCTTGGGTCCAAGCGGCAAAATCTCCACGTTGTCAGTCACGTTCGGTCAAGGGCGGCGGGGGGGACGACGACAAGAATGTACACGTCAGTTGCTGCGTACTGTGCCCGATCGGAATCCCACTAAACATGGACTTTTACCAAGTGGTCCGGTGCACCGGCCAATAGTGAGTGACGTGACCCATCATTACATTACAGCGATGGTAGACTGGTGGGTTATCGCCCACCACAGCCCCAAGCCTTTTCCCAAGCACTCGACAATAGCATGCTCCTCATCTGTATCATCATAACCGAACTGGTTCGTGAGAGATCATATACCTCACAATGTAAACCCGAAATTCGATGCTTTGTAGTCGGAATCGAGTATCGAGTAATGATACAGTTTTTGGCGAGCATATGCGCCACTTCGCGACAGCATATGTCGGTTTGTTCAAGACGAACCACTTTTCAGTTACGAACCACTGTTAATTTTTGCATTTTGGTTGCTTTACTTTGTAAAAGTATTTTAATGTATAAAAGCAAATCATAATGGAAAAAGTAAAAAGAATTTGCTCTTGTAAGAGCAGACACGATATACAAGAACATAATAAAAGTCTAGACTAAGTTAAAGCAAGTAAAATTTGTTCTTAAATTCAGAAAAAATAATAATAAAAATACTTTTTTAGTGAGACTTGATCGTTTCTTGATTCGGTGGGTTTTAATCGTGATCTCGGTCCAGCCCTTATCCGATGTTCCATCGCCAAAAACCCAGTCGAATGATCCGCTGCCAGACATGGTGTCGATTAATCAAATCGTTATCTGCGAACAGCCAGGGACTGTCTGCTCTCTCCACCCTGGAATCGGCCGCCATTGTTTCTGCTTCGCGTAATTATCTTAACAAACCCGTGACCACGTTACGACGATTCCGAGACCCACCAAGAGATGTGTGCGTTCGATAAAAATATGCCCATACTTACGGCCAACACAATGGAATCGATTTTACAACGCAAATACTTATATAAAAGAATATATTCACCACGTTTCTGGAAAATCTAATTTTAGGGTTATTAAGTTCTTTGTTCATAAATCAATATTTTCAACAGTAAAGTGTTTTAAAAAAATGGAATAGAATAGATACAAAACCAAAAATCAAGAATCTCATCAAGAAGATAGCTTTAATGAGTTATTTTTCAACAACGGAATTTCTTTGTCCCTCTTAATGGGGCCACAAGAATACACAATTAATTTTACTCGCACTCCCTCAGGTAAAACTTGTCGAACAATACCAACTAATGCCACAGAAAAAAACAAATTTAAATTAACCTGAAAAATTTTAGGCACGGTAATTAAACTCATTCCCTTGTGTTATAATTAATGCGGCAAAGATTTTTATAAAAAATTTAAAATTCTAAATGAAACGTTTCCAAGACACCTTAGGAAGTTTATAATTAAGATAAAAATATTATTATTCTATTGTTACTTAGTTATATGTACTAATTATTAATAGCAATTAGTTAAAAAAAAACGTTTAAAAAAGTATTAATAATGAAATTAATAGCAATAAATTATATTACATTATATTTCGTTGTTAAACATTCAGAAAATTTTTTGAAAGTGAAGCTTAGTTTTGTTAAACTTTTTTTAATATAATTTGTTCAAAAGGGCACAACATTATGGAACAACCGATATTTAATATAATTAAATCCAAAAGTGGTGGTAATAATTATGTTATTAAAGCGTAAAATTAAAACAATCAAGAAACAGGGATGTCGAAAAGTTTTTGTAATTAAGGGAAGGGCCGGGCAGTAATTCGAAACATACGTGGCATAGCGAAAATTAGCGTGGCACACAATTGAAAAGGGTGGACCCCGAAAAGTTATTCCATTGACTGGAAACCGCGTGTGTTTGTGTATCTGGTAATGACTGCAATTCGTCGGCGTTCAACAAACAACAACAACAACAGTCGTCGTGAAAGTCGCAGTCGTAGGTTGCCCCTAATCTGATTTCTTCCCCTTTTAGTTTGCGTGTGAGTCATTAAAGCCCTCCATTGCTACAGCAGACTTCCACCCTCGCCACGCCACGGCTACATTCTGCATACAGGCGACGGACTTGCACCAAAAGCCATAAAGCCACCCGCAAAATTGCGTACCGTAATTAGACTTCAGTCCAATGCAAAAAATAACAAAGAAAATATAACAATTCCAGATTTTTTAACTTGCCTACAAAAATTATTCAAATGCTGCATACACAGACTCAACAAAGTCAACGAGGTCAGCATATATGCTATAGTTTACAATGGAAATGTCTTTAGGAGATTGAAGGAATGAGTATAGAGAAAGAGGTCCTGGAAAAAATTAAAAAAGAACTAGCTATAAGCTGTCGTGGTATCGCAAATAAAATGGGGATTTCGTCAAGTAACTTATGCATCTAAAGTTTTGGGAAACCCTTCCTGCTCAGTAAGTACCAAAAAGTTCCTATAGGGATAGTCTTTCTTGGGCACAAAAGGTATGTTATGTGCTGCTAACCAATCTCTGGTGGTTCGAGCATAATCAGGCCAAAACATTATTTCGTCTCTAAGGTGGTGTTCATTAATAAAATCAACTAATTTTGAAAGAAATCATTAGCATCAACTGCTTTTCCTCTTACTTGCCCAATTCGGTCTAGAGATACCTCTAGGTATCTGAAATGGCAGTCCAAACTAAAACTTTATCTTCAATTTTTATTTTCGCCTTTGTTGCAACTTCATTAGAACACTCTTCAATGTTATCAGTGTAAAAACCGACATTTCCTTTCATTTTAGAATTAAAAAGAGTAAAATATTTTCCGCCTTCCAAAATGTGCTCTGCAGCATATCGGAATTCTCTGTAGTTGATTCTGCGTGTATTTTGTGCATTTCCATTTCTTTTGCGATATTTTAAGTTTATTAAGTGTTCTTAATGAAATCTCCTCCAGTTTTCGATTTTATGTCTTGCGCTTTCAACCACTCTGTTTTCACGAACTTCACTTAGACGTCCAAGAAGGTTGTAGATACTTTTTCGAATTTCCAATTTTTATGACATCTTTTTGAGAAATTTGAAACTAATGTTTTTTTATATAACTTGTTTGGTGCTGATCATAATAATGGGACCCATTATGCAATAATTACATGTTTATAAATGGTTTATGACAACAATGATTTTGCTTATTAAACTAAATAATACAGCGCACCAGTCACCGTATCAATGTTGCCGAATTTACGATTCCGTTTTAGGCCAATAACTCCTCGAATATCGCAGAAGATTTTTTAACTATTTTTTCGGGACTTCACTAAAACAAACTGGGGAGCTTTTTCGCCAGTTTAAATAAACCGCGTCATTAAATGATTTATTTTGTTTCAGGTGATGCAAGTAATGCGTCGATCGGCAGTGGCGAAGGAACCGGCGAAGAGGACGACGACACCAACGGAAAGAAAAATCAAAAAAAGCGCGGCATTTTTCCCAAAGTAGCAACAAATATCCTGAGAGCGTGGCTCTTCCAACATTTAACGGTAAGCATATTTGCAAAATTATACATTGAAGAAAAAAGGACGTGGGTAATATCCATAAAAATCACAGCACGCTATTGTAAATAGAGAAAGTGCAGGTATGCGCATAAGGGTTATTCAGCCCTTGAGAGGCACGCGAGATGGGGTTATGGGTCTCCGCGGAGCCCTTCCGAGGTGTGATGGCAAACGAATGGATCGGAAGCGCAGTTTTTCACGGCATTACGACCACAGATTCCGGTCTAGGTCTTGCATTTTCTCCCGCGGGATTTTTTCATCCCACACTGCCTCAATCTACCTATAACCGTTACAATTTTAATTAATGATAGGTACATAATTGCGTGTATAAACCATGATATGTAGGAATCAAACAAAGGAATGGGGAAATCTTGTTAGGTGGTGTAAAGGGCTACAGTTTGTTAATTGGGGTTTCTCGGAATGAAATCGACGAGCGACTCGGGGGTGAATAAGAATGAGATCTGGGGAATTTGTATCGCAGAAATACAATTGCGAGAATGTTCGGTATCGGCATATATCAATAACCGAATATGAGCTCGAGTCCGGCGCAAATCCTAGCGGATTTCAGTTCGACTTCGGTAAGCACGACACATGTCGTCCCTTGCGGGATAAACCGGGATAACTGTACCGGAAATATAGCCGAGCCACACAGGAAATGAATCCCGTGTAAAAAGGAAAACTCCTTTTTTCCGTCCGCCCGTCGTCTTCATAGACCGTTTAGAGTTAAGGAGTTGGGTTTCGCTGCAAATTACTAATAAAACGGCTGAAATCTTCGTTTTATGACATCCACGTGAATTGATTATGGCTTTTATTGGCACTCCAAATGTTTATGGAGTCTGGACACAAAAAATATTAATTTTAATTAACTTCGGGATAGTTATTATTTAATCAATTAAATATTATGGATTTTCATGCTAAAGTGATAAATATACACTGATCGTTTTTTGAAGTGGTTCGCCAAAAAAATTATTCCACTTTGATAGGTTGTAACTTTTGAATGGATGGACGTATCTTGTTAATTTTTTTTTTGTTAGAAAGGGCATTTTTTTAGCAGTAAGTGTGCACGACTGCATTCATTTGTCCTGATTTAAAATAATTTTACAGGGTGAATTGTAAAGCTATGATTTTAACATTAAATTTATTAATGTGCAGGAGGTAAATGGGTCACCCTGTATAATTTATTTTAAGGTCATCATAGAGCCTTACGTCTTAGCTCTGCGTGCTTTTTTGGATTTTGGTCATACCTCAATAGCCTTGGAAGATATTAATTTTTCTTTCACTTCATGTCTATGTGCGTAAAAAATCGAGATATCTTTGGAAGTAATAATGTTTTGACATGTGTCAATTTAATTGTTTATAACAATGCCGCGTCTACAAGGTGCAATTCTTGAAAGAATTATAGGAATGGTTTTAGCTGGTGTCTCTCAAAGGGAAGTAGCCCGACGCTTTAATATTGCATACAGTATGGTTAATCGCGCTTGGAAACGATACGAAAACAATAACTCTCCGCAATATAGACACGGAGGAGGGCGTCAAAGAGTAACAACTCCAGCAGAAGATCGTCTTCTTAGGAGAACCGCTTTGCAGAACAGAAAAACTAATGCTACCCAACTGAAACGAGCATTGCACCTGGCTACCGGAAACATGATTTCAACATCCACAATAAGAAAAAGATTGCATGAAGGTGGACTTCACTCCAGACGGCCAGCTAGGCATCCAAAATGGAATCATGGGCATAAAAGGCGACGTCTGGAATTTGCTTTGAATCATCAAAACTGGGCTGCAAATGACTGGGCCCAATGTCTTTTCACAGATGAATCACGGTTTTCTGAGGATCCCGATACCAACCGCCTGCGTGTGTGGCGGAGAGTGAATGAACGTTACGAAGAAGATTGTACGGTTGGCGTTACACCTTTCGGTGGTCGTTCAATTACAGTTTGGGGGGGGATATCAATAGACCGTCGTACTGAACTTGTACTTTTCGTCCATGAGACAGTTAATGCTTTAAGATACTTGGAAAGAATTCTGGAACCAATAGTTCTCCCTCTGTCCCATCAAATAGGTGAACAGTTTGTATATATGGATGATAACGCAAGACCGCATCGAGCCAACGTGGTAAATGAATTTTTCCAACGAGAAAATATCACCAGAATGGAATGGCCGGCGCTTTCGCCGGACCTCAATCCCATTGAAAACGTGTGGGATGCGCTTCAAAGAAGGATGTTAGATCGCCAAATTGAACCACATGGAATTGAAGAGCTGGGAATTGCTCTTCAACAGGAATGGGAAGCCATTCCGGGTGACCTCATCAATAATGTCATCAGGAGTATGCCTCAAAGATGTCAGGAGGTGATAAGGAGTAGAGGGGGCCCTACCCATTATTGATTATTTTTTATTAACAATTCGTTATTCATTATTATTGTTATTGTTATTGCTTTAAAAATTAAAATAAAACTTTTTGACTTTAATGTGTTCTTAAGATGGTTAAAAAATCATATCTTTTAAAATAAATGACGTAAGACCAAAATCCAAAAAAGGCCTCACCGCTAAGACGTAAGGCTCTATGATGACCTTAAAATAAATTATACAGGGTGACCCATTTACCTCCTGCACATTAATAAATTTAATGTTAAAATCATAGCTTTACAAATTACCCTGTAAAATTATTTTATATCAGGACAAATAAATGCAGTCATGCACACTTACTGCTAAAGAAATGCCCTTTCTAACAAAAAAAAAAAATTAACAAGATACGTCCATCCATTCAAAAGTTACAACCTATTAAAGTGGGATAATTTTTTTGGCGAACCACTTCAAAAAACGATCAGTGTATTTTGGCGTGTATATTTATTGCCTACAACGTCGAAAATGACATCCGTTTTAAAGTAAGATTCTAAATCATATAGCAGATTGTCAAATCTTAATTTATTAATATTTATTTTTATTACATTAACATTGCATCACTTCAATTGATATAAGAAGGTATACAAATCATTTGTAAATAATGTTTAGTTGGACCTTTACATTTTTTTTGTTCTGTGGCTCGTTTAAATAAACACGATACTTCAAATCACCAAAATTAGAAATAAGGCAACCGGAAAATATCGCAAGTAGAATTAAAGTTTCGTCTATGTGAACAAGCCACATACCTTGGCAGCCCGTAAAGAATACATTGAAGAAGAAAAGACAATGATATTATTTTCTTGACTCAAATAAACATTATTCACAAACAGAACTGATTTTTTTTATATACCATAAAGTTGTAGCCTTGGATGATGACTTTTGCCCCATCTTGTAGTTTTATACAGGGAAACTCCATTCGTATACCCTGTATAGTTTTTTAACTTTGGTTATACAATATAGAAGTTGATGAATGAATTAGTGAATTGTAGCATTGATTTGGGATCTGCTCTTTATTGAAGTCATACGTAGAAATGTTATTTTTGTTGGTTAAGTAGTGGGATTCTGCGGGACCCCTTGCAATATCCGATAACTGGATTAGCGCACAGGGTTTAATGAGTCGTGCAAGTAAGCCGGGATCAGAGAGAGCGGCGATATGATCGCGCTTGAGGGAGATGATGCATCGCTCAAATATTCATGCGTCCAAGCAAGCATTTAGTCTTCAGTGGCGGCGCCTTTCGGATTAAATATTTAGAGCCGCGACGGTCAAGAGCATCGTGTCCCTGGGGGTGGGGGCGGGCGACTCAACTCTCTCTCTCTCCTCAATTCCGAAACTCCCATCCTTTAATTCGGTCTGACAGGTGTACGGTCTTCTTCGTTGGCGCGATTTCCTAGGGGAGCCACACAGACCGTCTTATATCACGACTCTTCTACCGAAAATACACATCCACGTCCTGCGGACCCGGCCGGAATATGGATTACCACGGACGCACCAACTAAATTCATTTGATCCCAAACCCGAAGCAAAATAACTTTACAAAACCTTTTTATATTATTAAAAAATACCCCGAAACTTTTTCAATATTTACTTGGCATACATTAAGGAAAAAATCAGCTTATAAAATTCATTAAATACACACGATACAAGGGGGCGTTCAGTATAGGAAGAGAAAGCAAAAATGCGCCCTTCTTCAATCTGCTGCGCGAAGCAAATAGGATTTAGGAGATCCTTTGATTATCGTTTAAAGTCAACCGTGTTCTGAATACCAAATAAAACCAATTGTCTGTGTAGCAGCGAACAAGGCATTTTTTATTATTTTAATATTATTGCCTCGACAACACATTCCACGCAATGCGTTTATATTATTATTATTATTGATTCTGCAGGGGGTAATTTTATGTTCTTCGAATGTTTTATGGACCGCTTTGCTTCCATTTAATCAGTGCTTTGTGGGTTTTAAATTTTCCTATTTTCCTTTTTCAGCATCCGTACCCTTCGGAAGACCAGAAAAAACAACTGGCGCAAGACACGGGACTTACGATACTGCAAGTTAATAACTGGTAAGTACATTTACATCTATACTTGAAAAATGACATCTTTTTATTCCCCAACACCAAAATAAAAAAGTGTAACTGAGTAAATGGTTTATGAAGGAATCAAACAACAAAACTGTCATTTTGGTTAGTTAAAATTGGATAATAGGAAGCAGTTGTCCCTTCTCATTTATCCAAATTTAATTCCATTGAAATTCATTATCTCGTGAAAGATTGCGGAGGCTAATGGCGGCGATAACAATAGGTGTAAACAAGAGTGGAGTTGTGCAAAGTGCAGCAGTGGAGGTTGTAGGTCGATATTTGGTCGGGTGACGCGGAAAGAAGTGTTTCCGGAATGGGAATGGATTGATTAATCGCAGTAATTACCGATCAGCTTTCCGCGCTAATTAGATTTCGTCCCCCAGCAGCAGCAGTGCAAATGAGATTACGGCTGGAAATGGCGTTTGCCGAATCGCAGTGTGCGGGGCGCACGCGTTAATTGTCATCGATTTTTATAATGCCATTATGTCGGTACACAATTTATCACGTTACACTCGTAGGTCGCCATCGAATATTCAGAGCGGCTATGGATCGGGCCCCGAAATCCATTAAGGGCCATCCCGCACTGTCTCAGTGGTCATTTTAGTCTGTTTACGAGCCTGAAGAGGGCGATTACCGCCTCCGACGTTGCATCCGCCACATACGTGTTTGGTCTACTGCTTTCTTTCGGTTCCACTCGCTTGAGTACCCGCCCGCTCCATCTTGCACTCCATCCCATTGTACTTTGGCGAGCTGCAGATCCTTAACGGAGAGGAAAAAACCGACCGATGCATGACTTGCGATTAAACACAAACAAGAGTTATATCCACTCGTAATTCCCTTTTAAACGGCTTATTACTTATAGATACTCTTTTTATGTCTGCCTGACATGCCGCCGTAATTAAACTATTTACTTTTTCAAACGATATAACGCTTATTGAAAAGGAACCATTAGTTGATTGAAGTGCACACACACATATTTAAAGAAAGCAATTTTACATGTCATCAGTTTTTGCTGATATTGGGGCGCAAAAAGTTTCTGGTGGAAAAGAATTCTGGCGAGGCTTTTCCCCTGGGGAGATTCGGGTTTTTCGCGAGTCGGTGTCATCATCATTTTTCACGGCTCCGTACCATTACCGCTCGGAGACATTGTCTTGCCTTTTCCGAATGGCGAATGGCGGGGGGTTCACCTGGGTTAATGCGACTCGGTGATAAATCGTCGACGTTGGACTGATTTGAGAAGGGAAGTGTTATCAGTCTGAAACGTTGGAAGAGGCAGCCGATGGTGGGCAGGAGACACAGTGGCCTCTCTCTTCAGCGGCGGCGGCGGCGGCGGCGGCAATTTACGAGTGAGTTTCATTGTCGTCGGATGCTGCCGGCGGCGAATGGCTCTCCAAGGAGTAATATCAGGCCACCTAATAGCTTACCAAATAGCCTCCGAAACACCTTTTTAATGAACTATTGTAGCAGGAAATGAAAATAGGGAACGTCGGAACAATAACGACCCGCACAAAACGGCCCTCCATACCTCCGATGCTCCGTGTTGCATACGTGAATTCACAACGTTATCTTTCGCCGATTACCCGCTCAACCCTTCCGCAGGGATCCGCTCTCTATCTCTGGGGCACCATCCGCTCCTCTGTCCCAATGTCTATTAAGAAACTGATTTCGTAATTACTCAAATAGCTCTGTTCCGACTACATAATTGCTTTATTCTGTCCAAACATTTTCACCCCCATAAACCAATTAATATTCATCCACATCACTTTTTCAAAATTCAATCAAACACAATCAAAATAATTGCCTCATTAAATTCAAAGATTTCTCGGATGGCACTGGGAACGATAACAGGTCTGGTAGGTATCAATGCATCACGAATTTAGATATTACGGTGGGGCCCCTTTCTTTTCACCGAACAACCACCCGATACGTGGTTTATTGTAGCAGCGCGCAGAAAACAAGCGGCCAGAAAAAGGCACATAAATAACGCCAACCTGCCGCTTCGTTCTTTCTTTTATTCCCTACGTCGTTGCTCGGGATGTGAAAAATCGCATTCAAAATCCAATATCCACACTTTACAAAGAACGTCCTCCTGCAGGCATTCTCTTAAATAAATTCGCCCATCCACCACCCGAAAAAAATACATACCCAAATAATCGATATGTTAAAACAATGCGCTGATTGTTTTGTTTAAGCGTTGAAAGCATTGAAATAGTCGAGCTTTGTCTACTACGAGTATACGTTAATAATAAACTGATAGGAGAGAAAGGTTGTGGTATATTATTTTCGTGTCTGAAGCGGATGTTCTATTACGTGGAAAACAAATGCGACCTTATCAAGTTGTAGGTCTTTAATCGACGAGCGCATTTACAATTTAAATGTGCCAGCGATATTATTTAATCTACACTAATCTCGATCCGAAAAATAATAGAACAATGGGCTCGTAAAAAATGTTTTCTCTTTGATGTTAACGATTGTACTTTTTATGCAAACTTTATCGCGATATTGATTTATTATATGAACTAGAAAATAAACTTTTACGATCAATAATCCATTGAATTCAAGCAACTGAATTTCTGTCAAGTCATCAATCCAGTTTTTCATTTTGTAAATTGCTGTTTAATCTTCTCGGGAAAAAAATACAAATTGGTGTAATTACCCCATTAAATACGAACGCGAATTAATGTCCTCAGATAACAAATATGTACTTATATTGTAATGCTAGGTATACATTACGCTATTATTTGAGCTCCGCGGTAATGCGTACCTACGATGCCGACTTTAAACACTGTAATTTCCGACTTCTTTGTGCACCATAAGAACTATGGAAATATGAAATCGATCGTCGGGCTATTACGTATACACAACAAATATGTATGTTGGCTGTACTCTGTACATTAGGTTGCCAGGTTTAAATTTTTTCCCTTTTCAAGACAAATGTTTATATTATTTTATATTTGTTTTTAAGCATTAAAAAGTAAGATGTTTAAGTTCTTATTAGTATCATATATCGTACTAGATTGTCAACCTAAACTAGATAGAATGTCTAATTAATCTTGAGAATGTCAAATTAAGCTTTTTTATGTTAATCGTAAAGTTTTGGGAATTTTTTCATACATGAATTATAGCTTTATGATGAGCACCAAACAAGTTAATAATATTCACAATTATTTGTTGTTAAGCAATCTTCATATGTCAAAAAACAAATCAAATTTCTCAAAAAAATGCCATATAAATTAAAAATTCTAAAAAGTATTACAACACAAGAGTTTCGTAATGAAGTTGCCACAAAGGCGAAAAAAAAATTTTGAAGATAAACTTTTAGTTTGGGCTGCCTCTAAACCGAATGTTGGGCAAGTAAGAGGAAAAGCAGTCGATGCTAATGATGTCTTCCAAAATTAGTTAATTTTATTACCTCGAAGAATAAATAATGTTTTGGTCTGACCTGTCATCATGGCATTATGCTCGAATCATCAGAGATTGGTTAGCAGCACATAATATACCTTTTTTTGCCCAAGAAAGACAATCCTCCAACATACCTCAAGCTCGCCCAATTGAAGCTTTTTGGTCCTTACTGAGCAGGAAGGTCTATTTCAATGTTACAAGTTATTTACTTAAATTTATTTTTCAAAGTTTTTTCGGTGTTTAGTTTTTTTTCAAAAATCACACACAAAACCATCACATTGAAAGTTTGTTGATACTTTACAAAAAAAATTTGAGCCTTGTACCTGTTTTAGAAACAGTGTGGGGCTTCGTATCGAGTATTAATGACTTTTCTATCATTAAATATATATTATATTGTCAGGTGTACAAACGTAGATAAGAGGGTTGGTTGGGGTGGGGGTTGGGCTGCGTAATTCGAATTGCGAAGATTACGCACGTACGCTTCATTGGAAATCCTCATGCGAGCCTAGTGTATGGAAATGTTGGTCAAATATATCATTCCGGCTTGACAGTGCAATTCTCTTATCTGCAGGCCGCCGGCAGCACAGCACAGCACAGCCTCCCCGGGGTTGCTGAAAAACAGAGTAAGCGTGAGCGTGAGCCAACCAACCGGGGGTTGAACTACGGCCAAATTGCAAACAAAACACACACGCCGAGAGCGAAGGCGCCCTCTCATCATCTCCCGAGCCAACTTACACATTTTCCGAATATTAAAAACAAAGTCGGCGGGTTGTCTCGCCTGCCAAATTTATGAAAAACTTTTAGCCGACATTTTTTATTATTAAATTTTATCCAGCCACCCCAACTCGAACTTTAATAAAATTTTCACGATACTTAGAGGAATTGCCGTATCCAATATTCATCGCGACAGCAACTTTTTTCCCCAATAGTATTGTACATTTAATTTAGCGACCGCGCGAGGACGAGAGGCAATCAAAGCCTGACCACGACAAAAAAGTCCAAAAAACAAACAATGTGTGTTTGTGTTATGGCATTCGGCTAGATTGAACCTTCTCTTTGTATGCAGCGATTTTTTCGTCGGGCATCCGATGTTCGAGCTCGCCGCGGCAAAAAAGTGAATGTCTAGAATTTCTGGCACATTATTGCCGGCATCTAAGAAAGTGCGATTTGTATCAGACAGAACGACATTGACCAACGTCATTGTTCCACGGCCGGTGATGGCATTTCGGTCAGGTAATTAATGGCACCTTGTAAGCTGCGCGATTCTGTGGGAACATTCCACCAGCAGGCGGGGTACGATTCCCTGTTCCATCGCGCATTTAATTGCTTCCAAACGTGTTTTCCATGCACTACAATCATTTTAAAAATAACCATTGTTTTGATTAGACGTTACTGAAAATAACAATGAGCTTTATCAAATTAATCGTCTATCGATTGATAAAAAAGCGTCGACCCCTTGGATTGTTATTTGACAAGCGGGGCTGGATCGTAGAATGTAGCAGCAGCACCACTGTCTGGAAAGCCTCTCCATTCGAGCTTCTAATTGCGGAAACACGAAAAAGGCGCGCCTCCACCACCTGATCCATTAAGTGATCAGCAACGAGGAGCGAGTAGATACCGAAACGGTTCTCCCCTTTCGCAATCGCCTCCTCCTTGTATTCATCACGGAACTGCACGGTCCGGAAGCCACGGAAAGATTCGGTAATTACATTTGCGCGAGCGGAATGTAAGCGAGCTATGCAGATCACATTTTAATGCAATTCCATCCATTATCCTGGCAGGACCATTAACACCCGCCCTGATGCAATTTGAATTGTTTGGAACGCTCCGCGCTCTCGGTGTACTGCTTTTACATTTCGCAAAGCTATCAGCTCCATTCATATAACAAAAGCACAATCCCGATGACATTACACATTACGGATAGATAGTTGCAAAGCGGAAATTCAATTGATGCTAACAAGTCTTGTTTCTTACGGCCCACCCCAGCGTTAGGCAATTTTACACCTTATTATTCTTTGATTTTTTATCTCCAAATGTCTCTCTCCCTCTACATTATGCTATCTTTAAATAATTTCGATGTAGAAAAGGCTGTCGCAACAAATAATATCGGGTGGTCGGTGGAGTGAGAGAGTGCTCATTGTTTTCCGGAACCCTTTTCTTCTGGGTGTAAGGTTTCACGAAATTCGGTCCATTATGACAACAGCACGGGGTTAAGGCGTAATCCCCCGCCTAATGATCATCTCGATGACTTCGATTTCTGTCGGAAATTCTGTTCACAAGCGGATCTACAAATAATCTGCAGTAATTATTGTTTCAACATCAGGGAAAGAAAGGGTGAACGGATGAAAGATTGCCCCTTTTACTGAACGATTGTTGTTTACAAGCGAAGGGCTTAGACACGAAAACAATTACGTTAAGATGTGTGTGCATTATTAAGAGCTACTCAGACTGGAATCATGTGTCGCCAGCGTAGCACGCGTTAAAGCTGGCACACGTAGTTATGAATGTACCCAATTACATCTTAAAAGCTGTGCACCATTAATTTTCACAGCTGCTGCCTCTTAATTGGGATCCACATGCTCGATAATAAACGCGGAGACCATTGCTGCTGCGTATTTTGCACAGCCAGGGCTGATTAGCTGAGACGGCACTAACTTTCACCGAAGAATTTACCAACGAATAACCAAACAAGTTGGTTTATTTACCGAAATGAATGTAAATACCTAAAAACATATAAAACTGATTTACAGCCCAACGAGTAAGTAAAAGCTTTAATATGCACATTAAAATCGTAATGCTTTTTATATGCGTAAAATTTATACTCATAAAACATTCAAGGGTTTTATGAGTTTAAATTTGTAAAAAAAAAGTGCCATACAAAGTTTCTGAATATTTTCGTGTTTTATTACGCTCCAAGTCCGAAGAAGGAAAAGTGTATCTAGGTGAGACGCACACACATGTGTCGCTTAGAAGGGAAGGGAAGGAAATATAGAAACAGTAATTGTAAATCTTGGGCTGTCTTTATGGAGCGATAAATTCCCAGTTTAATATCTCTCGACACATAAACGACGTCGGGTCGCAAGCTGACGTCGCAGATGATGAAGTCCACTGCCTGACCCGCACTTCCACTCTTCAACTCTCGTAGCCAAACAGCCGGTGCCGGTCGAGCATTCGCTAACGACATAATTATCGTTCGGGGGGTTTGGAAACTTTTACCGTCCGCCAATTTCGAATATCACGTATCGAACAAATCATAGAAAGCTGACCAAAGCGCCAAAGATCGCTCGCCCCTTTATTTAGCTCGGCCGAGACACGCATAGAAACGGCCCTCAAACAGGCAATAACCGACTATTATACTGAACAACGGCCAATTCCTTCAGATTTTCGGATATTGGACGACCGAATGGAATTTATAAATAGCCTCTCCAACCGGCACGTATCGACTAATTATGCCGAATTAACGTTACAACGGTTGGGTTTAATTTAATTTTAGATAATCTCAGGACGTTCACTGCATTTTCAGCAAAAAGTATTACACAGATGTGATGTTTTAAAATGAAGAGCAAAATCTAAATAAACCAACGATTCAATATCCAATTGCAATTTTACTTTATTTTTTTATCAATTAACCTAAACACAAACCAAAATTTTTGAAAAATTAACAGACATTACTTGCTTCTCGCAATCTAAGCATTAAGGTTTTATCAACATGAGGAAATTGCAAATTTAATCAAACAAGTCGACATCTGTTTTCCATAGTAGATATGCATATAATTTTGTTTCAAACTGTAATGTACATTTTGAGGGAAAGGAAAAAACTCAAGACTCAGCTGCAAATAAACTTTTGTAAAATTGAGTTGATATTTGTGGGCAGTAGCGCACGGCTCGTATTTCGATTATCCCGGCTCTCTTTTGCCGCTGCATCCCCAGTAGCGCGTTGCACATAAACAAAATTACTAGGAATTTTGTAGGATCAATTCCCCCATCCATTAGAAGCGCCCATCCACGCGGCCATTGCTTCCCACGGCGACTATTACTTTGCACACTGACGGAAAAAATAACGTGTGTCTCCTCTAATAGTTAAATACTGATATTGAACAATCCCCCGTACTATTTTATTCATAATGTAATTTTTACAGTCTTTAGAGAAGTAATCTATCTCAACAATATTTGATGTATTTGCACTTAGACTAGTGAAATAGTAATATGTCTATCCATGTAGGTATATGGCTGTGCCAGCTGATGTATGGTTGTGCATTTATTTTGCAGCGTATCGGAAGCGCGACCAATCGGTCGGCAGAAAACCCAATCATTTCCGGTGTCGGGCCGCATTAGAGCCGGCGCTATTTTGATGAGCGTTGACAGTTTTGCCGATTCCACTATCCAGTTTCATCCCCGAATCTCTCTTTCTCTCGCTAAAGCTATTTTCACACAACAACATATTTTTTCGCATTCTTGTTAGCTCGAAATTGCAACGTGTCAAACGACATTAATTTGATGCTGTTGCAAAATTTATATTTATATTTTTGCCTTTTGGTTGCAGGTTTATCAATGCAAGGCGGAGAATAGTCCAGCCCATGATCGACCAGTCGAATAGAGCAGGTAAGTCTTTTTTATATGATTAATGATTAAAGGAACACAAGATGGCCCAAGACACGTTTTAACTTTTAATTTTGGGCTACCTTGTAGTATTTGAGTACACCGGTGAACTGAACTAACTAAATGGTAATGGGTAGGTTGGTAGGCAATGGACATGCAGTATAAAGGTAGATGATTTTATTGACTCGCGTGCCGTTCTTCGGGAGATACTGTTATCTCATTTTTTAATGAATCTCGATTTCCATTAAAGCTTAACGTTGTTATGCATTTTTATAGAGATATGGGCCGATCCCATGTCGGCAATCGACTTGATATGAATTGTAAGTGGAAAGTCTTGTATGATCGGTTATCGTGGCCGTGCCTGTCGCCGTTTTTATTTCGGTATTTCGCGAGGAATTCCTCAACCTCGTCCTCCTCCTCTTGCTCGCGCAAAAGTGCCTCGGCTCGATTATTAATGGGAGCCAATGTTAGAGTGTTCTTTCCTTTTGCGCCATATCGATTCCGGGGGCTGCTTTTCTCTGCTTTCCGCCGTTCCTTCGTTCGTTCTGCTGGAGACAGCCGAAGAGAAATGACGGCAGCCATTGACCCTCTCGGACCGATCCATCACCAACGGCACACAATCGTCTCACTTGACAGCTCGCAGCTTCCAATGCAAGGGAGAAAACTTTCGCTTACTCTTTTTCATCCACTTACCATTACGCCAAATTATATGCAAGCAGTCTGCTGCTCTACTGAATACAACAACAGTTTTCACTAAAAAAAATATTAAATGCATGTCCCAATATCATGTCTTCTAACTATCCCACTTACCACTAATAGTCTAACGCTAGAATAATAACCGGTGTAGCAAACAAGCAGAAGATGCAGTTTTAGAGCAGCGTCTTAAACCACTAATAGTGTTTTCTCCTCACGCAGGTCCCAGTGGAGCATACAGTCCCGACGGTACCATGGGTTACATGATGGAAGGCCAGCAAATGATGCATCGACCGCCAGGAGATCCAACTTTTCACAATCAGTACGCACATTATCCCGCTGAGTACTATGGACATCATCTGTGAGGTAAATTAACAACCATTTTAAAAAAAAGTTTATTGTCATTGAAACCTATTTGGAGCTTGTATCTAATGGACGTTTTTCTTGTTTCAGGTCTCCCTTCTTGTGTCACAACGACATTGGACATAGAAATATGCAACTCCTAAATGTGATTATTCTTTGTACAAAGTGTAAATGTAGTGCCCCAGTGTTTAGTTCCGGGAAGGACTTGTACAAAAGTATTAGACTCGTCTCGTGTGCTGACTGCTGTACATAGTAAATGGTGAGGCGGGCGGGCGGGCATTCCCCGGAGAGGTGCCCCGCCGCTAAAGTAAACATATACATATATACATACACACGCTGCACACTGGCAGTAAGTAAAAGAAAAAATTATTATGGACAACCGCCGCAATCGTGTTAAGTGATGTGGTCTCGTAGCTTAGGTTCCTCATCGATGTGTTACCTACCAATTGCCCCCCCCCCACTCCTCTTGTCCTAGTCCCGATCCTCACAAATGTCCTTTCTCTCAGAAACGATCAGCCGCTATCTCCAATGTCCTCCCTTCTATTCTATTATCTATTTCACTCTGTCCGCCATCACGTTTCTTAAAAAAATTCAAAAAGTACGACGCGTACAAAAAAATAATTCAAGGTTGTGCTGTTGTAAAATAATAGTTGTTATATTTGTTGTGATTTTTTTTGCTAATTTGATGAAAAGAAAACTTGAAAAAACCCGAACTCTCCCTTGTCCCGATGATGATCATGATGATATACGATATACGTAAAACTACTGAACCTAGAAAATTTAAAAAAATCTAACCAGCTAGAGTGCCTGCTCTCTCTAAGCTATTCAACTAGGATAAAATATCAATACACAAGTATACAGAATGTCGCAAAGTCACTCAGGGGGTCCTTGGCTGAACCCAGACAAGTTCAATCGTACCACTTACATAATGTAACTACATAGATTATTATATACTATTACTATCTTTATACTTGTGTTGTTTCTTTAATCGGAACCTGTCGTGGTTTCTAAACATCCCACATTATACATACATACATACCCAACAAAAAAATGGCATGCAATCAATTTATTTTACAACAAACGAAGTCATTTTCAATCCTTATGTCCTCTTTTTCTAATATCAAAGTATTAGGAGAAGAAATACATAGCTGGGGGGATGTTTCTTCAAATATGAAACTTTACCTTCTATAGAAAATAACCTCCATAAAAAGCAATAAAGCAATCGCTCTCTGATTAGTTTATTGCATTCTATGGAGATCATTTTCTATAGACAGTAAATTGGCAAGTTGCAAGAAACTCCTCTGGACCAACAGTTCACTCTTATTGGTACTAAGTAAATAGATATATTTTAGTTAAAGTAAAGGAGAAACGATTAGAAGAATTTAGAAATTTAGTCTAAATTTTATTATAACCTTAATGTTGATGTTAAAATGCTACGACATGTCCGACTTGTATTTAAATTGAAAAGTGAAAAAATAATTTCGATGTATACCTTACCGTAATTGTTTACTTGCCTGTGAGGGCTGTGGAATCGGCCAGGGGCGTCCCGATGGGGCCCCCCGAATATCCGGGGGGCTCGTTGTTAATGTTAATGATTGGTGGATGCGCCCGGCCGATTCCAGCGCCACCTGCTGGACATTCTTGCAACTGCTCGCCGTCCCCGGACTCGGAATACCCGACGTATACGATTTTAGTGATGTTTATAGGTTATTATTATTATTATTATTGTAATAAATTATTACGTACATAAGACCGAGTCGTCGGTGCGGCCGTAGATGGAGGAATGGCTTTATGCTACAAAATCATATTGTTTATGTATTCGTCGTTACCTTTGTTAGGGTATTGAAATGGACGGGGGTCCTTTGTTGTATACTATTATACCATTTACAGAAAACTCTGATTTATAGTTTTTGATCTGATGTACTCAAGTGTATGTAAATATTAATGATAAGTACTGTTGTATACCATGGCCCCCCGTTCGCGGGGGGCACCCCCACCCCCGTCTCTTTCTCATCCCACTGTTTTTGTAAATACAATTACCTCCGAAGAGAATTTTGGCTGTTCGTTTAAGTGATTTCCATCATAAAATCATTAATCGCCTTATCCAATGTATACGAAAAAAATCAATACAGATCAATGAGAGAATATCGTACCTCTGTGTTATGTATGAGAGGAAACTTTATTGTGTTCTGCTTTTTAATGAAAGTATATATTAATATTATAAACGATTATGGGACGAGATACCTCTAAAGTAATTTGGTAACGCCGTGTCCTCTGTATAGTGTTTTTTTGAAACGTGAGCATTAAATGCTACATCTTGTGTACTTATATAAACTGTGTTTTTAATCAATTTACCCTTTCTATCTCTCCCCCCGGCTCCCCCAACGACTACAGGGTACCAAATTATCACCACCTCCAAATATGGCACACAACTTAACTTTCTATAGAAAATGATATGTATAGAAATCAATATTCTCCATCGCACCTAGGTGATGTGGAGAATGTTATGGATTTCTATGCAGATCATTTTCTATAGAAAGTAATTTCCAGAAAAGTATGCCAAATTGTAACCATCTTGTGTTTGGTAATATGGACCACCCTGTATTTTAACTACTTACTACTACTACAACAATTTTTCTGATTTTAATTGATTTCATTTCAATCTTAAAATTTGTTCGGTGCAATATTAAATTAGTAGGTTAATTTAAAATTTGTGTTTATACAATATATGTAATTATTAAATTATTAAAAAAATGTTACTGTAAATAAATTTGTCAATTTATAACATAACAATATTTAATTAAAACACATTCACAACTTTTGAGCGCTTTGTTTAATAATAATTTGGTTTAAACCTACACTTTTTTTCCTAATAAACTATTAGCAAAGTTTATGAAGGTAAGTATAAAAGCTAAAAACAATTTATCAAACGCAGTCAAACATTTTTAATTTACATATATTCCATGTATTATAAAATTTTGGTATTGAAAACAATTTAAGGAAACATAAGATTAAAAGGTAAGTTATAAAATATTAATCCCGGCGCATCCGCCATTTTTTAACTTTTATTTTTATTACTTATTAATAATATGAAGCCTACTGATGGGAAAATAAAAACACAATAAAAATTAAAATAAATCTATTTTGTTGGCATTTTTCAATTTTCTTACAAATGTAAATTTTAAGAAAGAAGACATTTTGAAAGTAAATCGTAAAATTAAATTTAATTACAACCAAAATTGTAACATTTTTAGATTAAACACTATTGCATGTAAGGTAACATAATAAATAAAATATTTATAATTTAAAAAACTTATCAAGCTTAAATAACTGGAAACCACAGTTAAAAATTCATATTTATTATGCAACGAGCACAAAAAAGTGTGCATGCATGTGAGTGGATATTTAATAAAAATTATTTACACAAACACGTTACATTTCATGTTTTTCTGTAATTTGATGTTAAAGTGTAAACACTACTAATTATACTAATTCATTAATGTTGTATCTGATTATAAATATTTATCCTTGCACGACGATTTTTTTTTTTTAAATGTTTCCATGTTATATTCATGTACGACATCTTCCTGAATAACAAAAATAATGATTTTATAACGAGTATGATAAAATTTAATAAGTTATTACTCTTAGGCAATTGATGGGCAACAGCAGTGCCGATAGGAACCACAGTTAAACCACAGTTAAACAACAGGCAGACTCTACTTAGTCCGTCGATTAAATATATTATGAATTTATGTATGGTTTTCTACACGAGTATCCCAATTAAATTCTGTAGAGTTATTCATGTTGATGGCATGCACCTGCAAATTATAATAAAATGTATGACCTTACCACAAAATTTATAAAAAAAATCGTTCAATATTCAAAGTTCATTATTAAAGATTTATTTTAAGTAAAACCTTTATTTAAGTTGCTTTAAAGAAAGTAATGCATCCAATTCAGCCGGTGTCAGCAATAACAAATTATCTATTAGGAAATGCCTGTACAAGTATACTAGCGAACGGAGAAGACTGTTGGTTGAAAGAGAGAGCAGCCGGTTAAAAATGCTGAAAGCTGTTCGATCGGAAACTTAATTATATTGGATATTTCGAGTAAGACGGGGAGATTTACAATCGAACCCATCGCCGGGCTGATCGATGAGCGAACTCCATCAGATGCCCTCGCAGTTGCACGATGGATTTTCCGATGGAGAAGGGCGCCCGTTGGAAAACTCATTCCTGTGTATCCCTTCAGTAGATTTAATGCGGGATGATTTTCCAAACCGTGCTGCGACTTATTACCACCGTAACACATATTTTCTCTTCGATAGATATCAATAAATATCTACCAGTAAGCCCAACTGAGTTTTTTCTTTAAATAATTTAAATACAAATTTCATATTTTCTTAAATGGCGTATGGATGTAACATATTTTATTTGACAAACTGCTGGAATTGTAATCTAAATACGATGTACCTAAGTGAATAGCAATGAGCTTAAAATGAGTAAATAAAGGAGCACCTCCATATCAAGTAATCTGCATAGAGTAAACAATTGTATTGTCCATTCGCTGGAGAAAGGTCTGCGTCGTTTCGATGAGTGAATGTCGTTCAATAAAGACAGGGCAATTTGAAAAGGCCGAACAATGAAATATCGAGCGGGCTTGGAGCAAGGAACATTATAACATCAGAGAGCCTGAGCGGTCCGGATCTTAAACAACCATTGGTCATCGTAGATTGGTTGCGAGGGCCACGGTGACAGCTTCTATATAGGCCTGCGCCCCGGAAATTGTGTCCACTGCTGCAGGGAGCAGGCTTCCGCTTCCGTTCCTTACTGACTAACGTATACACGGTCGTCCACCGTTTGCCCGCTCCCTGATTCATTGCTCTCTTATCACAAACCTGGACCAAATGACTTTGCTCCGCTCCTCTCTCTCTTCGTCCTTGCTCCTGCACAGCTTTTCTCGTTCTTGCTCAAACCGACACATACTCTGAGAGATTACTTATCTGACACGAAGATATTTGATCCTTCACAAAGGATAATAATACGATTCCAACATTTTTATTTAAAATAATCATAACTGCACGACCTACAACTGTCTAATATATATCAAAACTCTCCTAAAACTGTTCTTCAACTTTTACTGGGAACTGTCCAAAATATTCTACAAGAATTGTTCTAAAGCTGATTTAGAATTAACTGTTAAATTAAAACAGTCTAACTGAACTTTCGAAAATTTAATAAAACTATCTTAAAGTAGTTGGAGAAAAATGATTCGAATCGAACAAAATCCTCACATTTTAAATTATTTTGTATCAATTACACATAAATTATCCAAATGTATGTAGGCAAGCATCACGGTTTAAAAACATTTTGACCCAGATTAAAGTGAACAACTAATAGGAGAACAAGAAGAAAAAAACAGTGGCGTCTTCGTAATTTCGGATACGGTGGTTGAATAACAAATGGGAGGTGGCGTGCGGTGTCAATCAAATGTCCGCGCAACGTGACCAAACCACGTTTCCGCTTAAAACATCGCCATTTTCGAATCTCGTTAGTACCTTGATTATGCCCCGTTGAGTTTTGTTTTCGTTGCAACGTCAGCAAACCGTTCATTCCTCCACTCAACTCTCCCGAAATTAGGCATGTAGTTATCATTCCCCTTAAAACTTTATAACTAATCTTTATTATTATTGTTCATATTTTCGTGTCATGTATCAAGGACTTTGAGTTATTATTAATTCTTTTGGTATTTTTATGTACAAATATTTATTGACTCTGAACATTTATTTTAGGATTTTTGCTGTTTTTTAGATGATTATTCTAATGAATGTTTGAAATTTAAATTTGAATTTTCATAAATTTTAAGATTTGTATTTTAAACTTGATTGATTAAAAAAATATTAATTTTTTTCAGTTTTTGCTTTTTTGTTTTTTACTAATTTCATGATAATGAATTTTAGATTGTAAGTAATTTATATTATTTTTTATATATATTTTTGGCTTTTAAATTCAATTTTTAATAAATTTGTATAACATTTTTTGGACATTTAGTATAATTATGTTATTTGGGATTTTTTATGTACAAATATTCTACGATTTTTAATATTTATTAGATGATTATTCTAATGAATGTTTAAAAATTAAATTTTCATA